GAGTCCCTCCCCAGCTCTCCTGGAGCCCCTTTAGGCACTGGAAGGGGCTCTGAGCTCTCCCCTTTTTGGCCTTCTCCAGGCTGATCCCCCCCAACTCTCCCAGCCTGTCCTCCCAGCAGAGGGGCTCCAGCCCTCCCAGCATCTCCGGGGCCTCCTCTGGCCCCGCTCCACCAGGTCCATGTCTCTCCTGTGCTGAGGCCCCCGAGCTGGAGGCAGCACTGCAGGGGGGTCTCCCCAGAGCAGAGCGCAGCAGAGGGGCACAATCCCCCCCTCGCCCTGCTGGCCACGCTGCGGGGGATGCAGCCGAGGATGTGGGTGGCTTTCTGGGCTGCCAGTGCACATTGCTGGATAATGTTGAGCTTCTCATCCACCAACACCCCCAAGTCCTCCTCAGGGCTGCCCTCCATCCATTCTCCACCCAGCCTGGATTTGTGCTTGGGATTGCCCCGGCCCACATGCAGGACCTTGCACTTGGCCTTGTTGAACTTCATGAGGTTTGTACAGGCCCACCTCTCCAGCTTGTAGAGGTCCCTCTGGGTGGCATCGCTTCCTTCCAGCACGTTTACATGGCCAACACAGGTTGGTGTCGTGGGCAAACTTGCAGAGGGTGCACTCCATCCCAACATAATACACAGCTATCCAGGTCAAGAGCATGAACCACCCCCTTTAGTATCACTAAATATGTTATGTGCCCTTCTGTAACAAAATCACGTATTTCTTAGTTGAATTGAGTTTGAAGAGGGTAAAAAATAGAGATGATGATGTGTTTCTGATCATTTGCCCTGGCTTCAGGATGAAGACAGTAAATGGATCATTTGCCATATTTATTGAAGAAAAAACATGCAGAAGAAAGCAATGGCAAAAACAGGTTTAAGAGAGGCATTTAAATCTTTCCTAGAATGAACATGGAGTGGAAATTAACATATTTATTAGGAAAAAAAAAAAACCAAACCACAGAAGGTGGTCTGCAATCATAGACTATGTCTTTTAAGGCACGCAAACTCAGGCTTACTTTTCTCATTCATACTTACACTACTAATAGCTCCTCCTTTTATAAGGATATTCTTCAGACAGCCTTGCTGCTGGGGAGAACAACTAACTCGACCGAGGTCTAGTTGGAACAGCAAAACTGTGGTCAGATAACTGTATGACATTAGCATTTTGCCAGGCAAACATAACGAAAAGACTCAGCCTGCTTCAGTGCGTGCTTTAATGGCCACCTCTGCTTCACCAAAATTAAAAATCTCTGCCTCTTCATAGGAATGCTTAATTTCCTAAAAGCTACGATTTGCTGTGAGCCAAGGACCAAAGCACTAGAGCACACAGAAGAGCCTACTCATGTCCTTCCTTTTACATTCTCTGAACTCCTCCAGATTTATAGGCAATTGAGGCATTACTATTTAAAGTTTTTTTTTCTTATGGTTTTTAACAGCTAGACCAAGATAAGCAGACTACATGCTCCAAGTGTGAACATCCACAAAGCATTACTCCTTCTCGCACCCTCTCCCCTCAGCATCCCATCTCAACCCAGCAGCACACGTTCCATACTGGTTAATCAGCGTGAGGACAGTGCCTGAACCACCTAATCCAGCAAACAGATACACGGCGAGGAGGTTATACACGTACAACAGAGAACCAGCAGCGCTAGTAATATTCAACAAGGTCATTGCGATTTACGACTTTTACATGTTATAACTCTAAGTGAATACATTTAAGTCATCAGACACCTTCAGTTCCTTCACGCTACTACTTCTCCTAAACACCACTCTCTGTAATAGTGTAATTTGAAACAAAAATCTAAGTGATTCCTTTGGTTTCTTTAAAGCTTATCAGACTACGCATAGCACAAGCAGCCTAAGAGCTTTTTCAGGGTAGCTGTACCCCATCCAAATCCCATCTCAAGCACCATGGCACTGCTGGCTGCTACCAGGGCTGGGGAGAAGGGGTAAGACTGCTGAGGCCAACAGCACTGGGTCACCCAAAGGCTTGGTCTCACATCCCTAATGGAGCACTGAGACTTCCTGGAAACACTTATTTCCTACTGGGAACTACTATTTATACCGCCCACCTTCCCAAACACATCTTGAGGCTGTTAGCTACGTAACAAGGTTACGCTGGTCAAAGGCAAAGTTTGCTGACCATTCTGAACATCATTCAGAGCTCTGCTGTCATGTCATGCAGCAGGGTCTAAGCTTCCTACTTCAATTGTTTCCTGTCTTCCTCTTTCCAGAAGTCTGGAACATCTTTCCAGACATAAGAAAGCCCTACCCAAAGCTAAACTTATAGGTAAAGAGTAATAATAAAAAGTAATAATACTTAATAATAATAAGAGGTAAAGAGTGATATTCCCCTTTCCCTTCCTCTACCCTTCACCTAATTTTATACTGGAAGAATATTCTTGATTTAGCCTGTTAAGTTATTAAGAAAGAAATTCTACAAGTCTTCACATCATGCCATGTAGGCAGCAAAATCTGGCTGCTGAAAAGTGTTTTACTCTTTGCAAAAGTATTTATGAAAGTGATAAATTGTTAGAAAAGTCATTTGCCATGTGAGTTCCTCATGGTGATCCTCAGCTAACAACCTGCAAATTTTATAACAGCTTCACATTCTTCTGTGCATGCCCAAGTGTAAGGAACAAACGTGTAGTCAGACTGACTTCTCAAACCAGTACATACCTTGGGATCCTCCTTCAGTTTGGTGAATCTCTATCTAAAGGTATATTCCTAACCTATAAAGACTCCTATACAGAATAATTCAGCAATTAAGTCTGTTTTTAATAAGAAACAGTTTTCTTTTCAAGCCAAACATCATCCAGGCATTTCTGACTATAAAAAAAGTACCCTACAGTTAAGCTTGGCTGCCTTGATGCCAAATAGTGCCATTTACATTGAGTCAACTGGTATCAGTAACTTCTCATTCTTGCAATCCCAGTATGTTCACTGTTGTTCCGAGAACTTTAAAATGGTAACAGCAAGATCATGACCACAGCCAAAGCTAAGCCTTCCAAGATTACATTTTTAGGGACTTCATGTCACAAAAGCAGCAACTATCAACAGAAATCTCCTCTCCCCAGCCAAAAAAGCCCCCACTGCACCCACATGGAAATCTTTGGTCATCCAACAACAGGAATACAAACTAAGCCATAAGAACATCAGCATGGAAATTTTGTCCATCATTTCTGCATGCACAAGACAAGAGTTCAGTGGAGGCAATTATGATTGCACCCATGAATGGAGATCAGCAAGTTGAGGCCATAAATCTGGATTAAAATTTATATCTAATGAGCGGAGAGAAATTTCAACCCTAATTGACCGCATATTGTTTCCATTCGTAGTCTAAATGCAAGTCCAATGCTACAGCCTAAAGTTAGCACAATTTGTGCTTTGAGCACAATCCGGCTTGGTTTAGTAATTGACAACAATGAGCCAACTGATGGCATAATCTATGTGCTATCAGCCAATGCAGGATTCTTCCTAGATTGTTCAAGGTTTGGGTTTTTTTTTTTTATTATTTAATATTAAAATAAGCACTTCCATAGCACTTTAAGAGCTAATTCAAGGCTTCAAGAGGCCACTGGCCTGCTACCAAATTTCCTTCGGCAGTCAGGAAAGCCAAGCCAGTTACAGCAGAAACTCAAGCATTTTTAAAGAGATAACTCAGCCAACAGTGTCGTCATCCCACGTCTGCAGGCTGCTCTGGTGTCTCTACAGCAGCCCATAGCCATTGTCAGCCAACAGCAGGGTAATACGAACGTTAAGGGTGACAGATTTACTGCTGTTGCTTGGGGCCCCGAGAGCTGCTGTGCAATTGTCCAACATCAGGTGAGTTTGGTACTGCCGTCTGGGAAAGAACTGGAAAGCAAAACAGACATTAAAATTCCTTACCACCCTAATATAGTTTGGAGGTGGAGATCCACGAAGCTGATGTTCTACTTCCATTCTCGTATCATCTACTTTCTGAAATGAGGGGAGACTAAGAGGAAACAAAATCCTCTCCCTTCCTTTGGAAGTTTAAAAGACAGTGGGAGAGATAAAAAAAAACATTCGCCATGTGCGGTAAGTGAAGACCACCAAAAACTGCATCCTTAATCAATCTGCATAGAAGCAGCAGGTAAAATTGCAACACTTGAGAGTTCAAGTTGCTGAAATATGGGATATTCGGGGTATTTCTTCAAGGCTTTTCCAGTCTGATATAAAATTATTCCCTCTTCACCCCCCCAAAAAAAACCACCTACCTATTTTGTCCTTGGCTGTAAGATTTGAAACAATTCTAGCATACAATGTTCTGCCCATCTATTCAACTCGGGTACTGATTTGGAGGGAAAACACAGTTACCAAGTTTTAGACTTCTTCACCATTACATGATTTCTCTGCAATAACACCCG